GCACAAACATTTTGTACGCCCTTAAAAAAATTTGTCATATAACCCCACTACCGCCCCATAACGGCCACTTTCTTCTGTTCCCAAGGTGGCCGTTGTGAAGAGGTTCGACTGCTAAGGAAGTGTGTCATCGGTGAAAAGTCGTCTGGCTTCCGATGGCCAAAGTCACATGGGATGTACTTATTATAGGAAATTAACGCGCCATGTTAAGGTATTGGAAATTAACGCGACTTAAATTAACGCGAATTTAATGGAAAACGATTTTCGAATAAAGAAAATTAACGCGAAAGAGGAGGTAGAATTTCATAATAAAGGAAATTAATGCGATTAAGACAGTTGGTGGTGACAACTGGAAATCTATCTTGGCCGAAATCAAAGGAGAAGATATTGACATCACTTCTGACAGCGACAACGATGAAGATGAACTCGAAATATTCATGTAAACCTTCGTCTTAGCTTTTGTGAAAGATGAAAAATAAAGGGTAAATGGAAAGAAAGAAAGCTTGTAGGTAATGTTTTTTAGGTGTCAAGAAAATCTGGACATGTTCCAAAATTGGGGTTAAATACTGGAAATTAAGAGCGCGGAAATTAACGCTGCACTTAATTAACGTCGCGGAAATTAACGCTCAACAAAATTAACGCGAATTTTAACGATTCGTGTTAATTTCGTGGAGCGTTAATTTCCTATAATAAGGTAACTTTGAAAACGCGCGCGCCCCTCTTAATTGCGCCCTTGATCTAAACCGTAGCCTGAGTATCAGGCGTTTCTGGGGGAAAAGGGGAAAGTTGGAAGCCAAAAAGGGAAGCCAAAAATCTCCTCTCCCCTAACCCCTTAGGAAGGCCTGATACTCAGGCTATCTAAACCGGTACCTACGATGTTAAGGATGTTTTAGAACTGCTATTTGCGTGAATAAAGTTGTTAGTTTCGAGTGTGTTGCCGCAAGTCGTTTTCATCATCTCGCGTGCCCCCCTCTGCAGAGCTCCTTTGGCTCCTTCTACAACCGCATAAAATATAGGAGGTACCATCCAGGAGTGTATCGCTTTCTAAGTCCTCTGATCCCGAAAAAAACATGCGACAAACTCCACCAGCAATAATCCAGCTTGCCTTCTCTCACACTCAGTGCAGTGCAAATAGAAAACGTTATTACTAACGCCGTGACTTTGCCAAATGAACTCCAAGTGAAATTCTCCAGAAAGTACAAACTCTTCTCCTTGCTGCAACTTTTCTGCCGAGTGGAATTGTCCCCTGAATAGAGAAGTAAACAGTAAAGACATCAATTTTGCAAAATGACGAGGACCATCTAACGAGACAAGTTCGCCAGAAGTTTTTAAAGTTGACTAAGCCCTTTGAACTCATTGTATAAAAATGTGCTAAAGTGTCCAGCATCAAAAAGTAAAGTCAGTGACACCCAGTTCAACCGATGTGTTGTTCAACAAATATTGTAGCGCAAATGTTAAACAGTTTTCATGCCATGTTTAATATTGAAACAGTCCATTCAACTTTCAGCTCGCTGAACATTGAGAATCGATCATTTCTATTTATTCAACAAACCGCAACATTGCTGACCATTTATTGAGAAACACGAGGCGTTAAACAGTGTGTTATTAGCTTGATAAATTCAAAAATATCAATTTTTATTTTTAAAAATACCGTTAAATGGTTAATCGTAGGATTCTGTCGTTTAGGACTACATTATGCGAGAGAGAAAGGCTTAGTGCACAAAAAAGGCCCCAGTTGTATCAGCTACCAAATTTTTATGTCTGGGGTTTGAGAAGGGGAGCGGGAAATACTGCAAGCGCCAAAGGTGCGAGCCTCTAAGGGTTTCTTGGGGCAAATTGCTCCCCCAGAAAATGTTGAAATCTAGAAACCTGGAAATGCTATTTTCAGTAGTCTCCACGTGAATATTTCAAACTGGATCAGGTCTAAAATAACAGGTATTTTTAGTCATAAGAACAATATTTCCGTTTGACTTGGAACATTCATACAGAGTGATACATACCGGCTAAGTACACGAAACGTTTTACAAAACTCGACGCGGCTGCAAGGTATCTCGGAGCAAACGCTTAAGCCCCCCACTTCCCCGGCTCCGCTGCCTTTGTACTGAAAGCAGCGTCAAACGTCAACACGTATCACATAGGTCCCCCAAAAATCGTAATCTACGCCTTTCGTCTTTCGAGACTCCATTTGTCAAATCCGGAACGCCTGTTTAGGAAATATCTTCAATGGTGGGATTATTTTGACTACATATAATGCTAGGTCACCAGGATATACTGGGGCCACAACATGGGCTACTTAATTATCCTTATCAACTCACAACAGGACTATTCCGTTTCGTAAAGCAAACTTTGCAATTGCATCATCCTCGGGTGGAGGCCTTCAAATAAATTGACAACTTCGTCCAGATCGATAGGCATATCGCACTTGATATGCATGATGGCAAGTGAGGAGAGCCTACTCTCGCCCATGGTACATCTCATGTAATTGTTTGGCCTTCTCATTGTG